CTATAGTCGAGCTGAAGAATTCATAGACGACTGTTTCAAGCAGGTAAATCGGTTTCTTCTCTTTTTTGATAGTCCAAGTCATGTACATACTAGCTTCCTAGAATTTTATGTAAACTTCGACTTCTTAACTTTGCTACAATTTTTATGAAAGAGAGAAGGTAAACCCTTTGTCCAATTTCTATTCTGGAGAATCAAATTTTAGAAGAACTGAATTTCCTTTATGAACTACTAATTATGTCATTTTTTTAACATCATATTAAGTACTATAAATTAATCTACTTTTAGGTCGATTATGTTATACCAATACTGACAAAAGGATACATCGAAAAAATCAATAACCCTATAAAAACGTATGAACAGCTGCATAACAACTTGGATACAAAATACTTGAAATACATATATTCTTTATTGAGATATGAATACGTAAGGAATCAATGTTGCAACAATCGTGTGAGGTACATATAAATTGATAAGTTTTTAATAACAAATTTTTAACAGATAATCCTTAAGCATTTGTGATAAAATATCATTTCTTTATAATTAATATAAAAGTGTATGTAGAATTATCTTTGTTTATTTGCTCTTGTTTATATTATCAGATGTATCGTGCCTGATAAAGATGTTTATACGATTGTGCGACAGAATCTACATCCCACATTACAAGCATGGTTTCGTGAAAGTGATATCGATGATTTTGTGAACAATATTCTCTTTCATAAAATTTGATATAAAAAATATGTTATAAACTTACAAGAAAATAAAAATTGTATGAGCAACTTTTGATATCTTATAGTTTTTCAAAACTTCTAAAATCTATAATATTGATAGTTTTTTTTCGTAAACAATATATATTTTAATTTAATTGTAAGTTAAATATAAAGGAAACATCCTCTAAGTTTAGACAAATACAAAAATTTCATGAACAACTGTTAAAAATTCAAACTTCAACTTTTGAAAGATCTTTTTACAGTTTATTAACATTTTTCTATTAATATATTATATTATGTACAAAATAAATAAATATGTTGTTTATATTTTGACTTACTTTTTAATTAGTTTATATTATATTTAATTGATATATATTCTTAATCTTAGATAAAAACAAAAGTACTTACTCTCTTATGAAGAAATCTCCAAATGATCCTCTTTCCTCTTTGAATTCTTCCTGTTTCACTTTGTCCGAATTATCATGATAAATCATCAGAGCTTTGCTACTTTCATCATTGGGCATTACTTCACCATTAATGGTGACAAATTCATGTTTGTTAGGATCATACAGAACTGCGAATGAACCTAGTAGATCATGTTTGGAGGCAAGCTCGAACACTACATTTCCAGATTCTCCATGAACCCATTGAGCTCCGAGATCTACCACATTTTCACCTGGAAATATCGAAAAATGCTTAGATTCAAAATTTTCTTAAACAGCCAAAGTTTTAAAAATATATATAATTGGAACTGATTCAATATCAAAGATAATATACAAAGTTAAATTTTCATTAATTCAATACCAATTTAGAAGATTATTATTTACCAAAGTCTTTGGTATATATTCTGCCACCGATCCTATCACTGGCCTCTAATATTACAAAATTATTTATTCCTCTCTGCAATAGTCTCGAAGCAGCAGCAATGCCAGCTGCACCTGCTCCAACAATCACGATTTTTGTTTCCTTTGGCATTCTGCAAGTTCTTGACGATTGCACTGCATCCAACAATTTTACTGCACCATTAAAGAAATATCTCTGCGTATTGTCAGAGATAAATATGAATAATGATCTTAAATGAACTTGAATTGGCTCAAGTAGATAACGCATCAGATTGGTCAAATTGCTAAGAAAGATTAATATTACCTCAACATAAGTAAAATACATTGGCGATTTGCAACTTCTTAAATTCTAGAATTGAAGATACGCGAAAATTTAATCTTTATAGAATATTGCAAAAAAATTAAAGGAAAGAAAAGGAAATTTGGAGTATATTTCATTACTTTTCGTGTTTGCCTTTTCCATAAATTTAATTCAGATATTATATTTCATGTAACATCATTATCCATTGTTTCACACACACCTGATTAATTTTATTTTAATGTTAAACGTATCGCGAAAAATTTTTAGTCAACACTTCGCATTAGAATATTCGAGCGAATTCTTCGAGAGAATACATATGCAATCGCAAAGCAAAGCTCTCTTGGGGAGAAAATACACTGATATACCAATGAATAAATAAACTAATGAGCGAAAAATACTAATGAGCGATCGAAAGTATCTACTAGTGAATCATTTAAAAAAACAAAAATTTGCCAAACATCACTATTCTCAGTGATAGCTACAATTTGCTTAACACTCACATACATACATTTGCCACGCATGACGACTGTACCCAACTACAACGTTGTTCCGAGCGAAAGAACGATGAGATACTTGTACATGCGCAGTAAAGGGAGTGTTAGCAGACACTACTGAGTACAAATCTATATAATAAATTATTACGATAAAAGGAATATCATTAGATTTTTTAGAAAAAAAAAAAAAGAAAAAATTACATAAATAATACCAAAAAAAAAAATTTCTATAATATAAATTTTACATTTTTTTTATGGAGAAAAATAATTAATTAAATTTATTAATCTTGAGTTAATTTATCACAGAAATATCAACGCATTTAATGCAAAGAAAAACTGGGTAGAAAACTTTACTAGCATTTTAATATAAATACAAAATTATATAAACTATTGCAATTATTTTACAAATATCAATAAATACTTTAAATAATAATTTATAAATTTCTAAATAAATAATAATTAATATTTTTATTATATATATAGTAATAATATATATAATATATGTGAAATATAAGTATACAGAGTATCCTAAGAAAATCTGAATATTTCGGAAAATATAAGTTTTACAAAAAAGTGTTTTAGACAAAAATTGTAGGGTTCAGAAAAGATCTGTTTACAAATCTTATCAGTTTGAACTTGGGTGGCAAATTACACTCTATTTTTGATTTCAGAATCTAATAACTGGTGTCAAGAGCTTTTCAAAACACTACATTAAAGTTATTTTTTATAAAGCACTTTTCGAATTATCTTGTCAATATTTTAAAACTTTTGTATGATGTTAACATATACATGGTATAAAAATTTCGTGTCTGATTATTGTTGTACGCGCTCAAGAAATGTCGCACACTTTTAACCAGGAAATTAGAAGAGGCTCATTTATAAAAACTTTATCTACGGATACGCTCGATGGAAATTATTTCGCTGAAGATTCGGTTCGGAAGGAATCAAAACGTTCGAACAAATAATTCCTATGTAACAATAACAGTAACGTCAGTAACAAACACATTCGAACAAATAGATCGGAAACAAATTTAATTGGTAATTTGACGCAAAAACCGCGCAGTATTATTCTCATTTATCTGTATGAGTGTTTAAATTGTTAGATAGATATCAGAGAGTCCAATAAAAATTATATAATTTCTAGTTAATATATATACAATAGATATTTAATATAAATAACAATAAATGAAGGACAATGTAAGAGTTAAACACATTTAAAATTTAACACAATTAAATAGAATAAATTACCAATAAAGAAAAATAAAAATAAAGAAAACAGTCTAAATTCAATAAAACATTACAAGTTTCGGTTATCGGATTGAGCTCTCTTCAGACATTTACTTATCGCAAAAATCAATGTACAAAATTAGTTATCGAAATTCCTACATATTCCTTATAATAACAGCTCGAGTGAATCTTCATGTAGAACTCGACATTATTTGCATACGATTGGATAGTCAAATGTGTGATTGGAAGATGAAGACTCGAGCTATTGCTCACTCAAGCTTTATGATATAATAATTAATATAATTCATTTTATATTTAAATAAAAAATTTATTGATCTATTATTTGCATTTTATTAGCTTATTATTAGTTTTATATTTATTTTAAATATGAAATCAAAAGATTGCATAATATTGAATTTGGATACAATCAATTCATCATTATCGGATAAGACGATAAACAATTAAGTTGCTGAAAACGATTTATCGAAATATTAATTATGTGATCGATGATGTATTTATGCCTGATGCAGAATAAACCAGCGTCTGAACTTTATTAATAAATTTTATACCGTCATTTTTTAGTCGATTTCAATTGACTCGAAGTGGTTTCGAATTAAAAAGAATCACTGCGAAATCCATGATTAACTTAACAAGTGACTTTTATTAATGTGGATAATATTTGTAGTTTGTTCGGGGCACACACATACATGCTTTATCCTTACGAATTAATACTATATTTATTGAAATATTTTATCATAAAAAATTGCTTTTGGAAAGCACATATCACTAGAAATGCGATTTGTAGAAAAATTAAAATTAGTGAGATATATGTATAGAAGTAGTTTTCATTTTAGAGAGAGAGAGAGAGAGAGAGAGAGAGAGAGAGAGAGTCTCCGTAAAAAATTTATTCCAAATACATTACATTGCAATATTGCTGGAACGTTTGGTTGCAATATAACAAAAAACAGACATCTTAACATTATTGGAATTTTGCAACAATGATTCAGTAACGTTTCGCAACCACCATGCAATATTGCAATGTTTCCATGAAATCATTCTGCAATGTTTCTGCAATCTTTCTGTGTTGTATGGGAATATGAAATAAAATAATTAATAGAAACAATTAATAAGAGTGTTTACTATATCTTTAAAAAATTATAAATAAATTTCGATTTTAAAATTTGATGCAAATTGTAAATCGTCTAAAGTAGGCTACAATTATAAACAAAATAAAGTAGAAATTTTATTCGGAATTTACTCAAAACTTCATTCAGTCAAACATAACCTGTTTTAATGATGTTATAACCATTTATAAATTTACAAGTGTTAATTACAAAATTTAACTTAATCCCAAAATATAGTTTGTTAACAAAGATCAATTTAGTTCTTTATTTCAAAAATGTCTAAAATTTCTTCAAGGACTTCCAACATGAAACTTCCACTCCAATATTTAAAGTAAACAATCAATGCTGTTAAAAATAAAATATTAAATTATTATGTAGAAATTATTAATTACATAAAGTAATTACATTAATAGAAATTTTTTATATATAATTTTAATTTTATTATTTTCTTTTAGTTGTAAAGATATTTTCTTTTCTTTAATTAATTTTATAATTTGTGTTAATTAATTCTATTAACACCAATCAGATAATCTTCATATCTTATCTACAGTTTGCCGACATTAAAAAGAAAAAATAATAATTTATTGAACACTGCTTTTCGAGAGAAATGGCTAAAGAAGAATTCAAACCTGAAGCCATTCAAATTTTGTTGTTCTCTGGATTGTTTCGATCCTCTTTCGCGATACGATCAACGAAAGCCACCCTATAAATCTTCACTAACGGCAATAACTTCTGTACACGAATGTCCAGTGACTAAAATGCAAATAAAATTTTCCACATCCCGACTTGCTCGGGAGAAAAAGAGACCGGCCAAAACAAGAATATCAGATGCAAGAGAACAGCAACAACCACTGAAGAACAGTAGATTAAATTATTTTCAGAGCAGGAAAAATAATCGCTTTATAAGGCAACATCTAGAAGATAAAATTGCATTAGCAAAGGATATTTTCTGGGCAAAAAAGAAAAGAATTTACAAGGAGGCAAGCAACAAGGCGATAAAAATAGCAAAGAAGAAAAGTAAGTCTCTTCTAACAGCAAAAATACAAAACTGGATTAAGAACAGATTTATTTGAATGCATTAATGAGCATTGGTGCATATTAGAACCATTGTACACTGATTAATCTAAGTGTAAAAGTGAAATGCAAATATTTTGAATTATAAAATATATATTTTACTTAATGACAAAATGTATAGAAGACTTCATGGTTTAACCAATTTTTAAATTTATATTAAACACACTTTTTTACGTCAATTTGTACAATGGCTTTAATATACTCAATGCGTCCGATCGCTTATTAATTAAATTAAATTTTTCAAATGTTTTAAGACTGTAGGATTACAAGATCAATATTTAACAAAATGTAATATAAATGAAATATGATTATTTAATTTTATTTTGTATAAATGCTTATATTATTTTAATATTAGATGAAATAATAAAAATAGTTAAGAGGAAAAAAAGGATTTAATTTAGAAAAAGTGTAATATAATTATTATATTAACGTTAAATTTGTAACTGTGTTTTAAAAAAAATTAATATATTAATAATATTATTTATTTTTTCAATAGGTCAGAAATACTTATTAAAACTGATGAATTATCCAAGATGGTACCAAGATTTTTCCCCGGATCAAGTATGAACGTAAAAATGAGTGATCTCATATACAAATTTTGTTTCGATAAATAAAGTTCAAAATTAAAATGTGATAAAAGTTTGTTTTCTTAAAATATTCTAGCTCAATTCATTTTCTCATTAAGTAAAATATTGTCTTTCAATCTTATAGCGTTTTTCATTTTGGCAGAATTAATGCGCACTCAGTGTACTTTAAAGACGTTATACAAAAATTAACGTAAAAATGTACGTTTATTAAAAATATAGAAATGAATTAAATCGCGAAATATTCAATACATTTTATTGTGCTATTTGATAAAATACACATTGAATATTTTATCAATTGAGATATCTCACTTTTACATTTAAATTAGAATAATATACAACTTTAATGTGTACTGAGTGCACACTAGTAATTAAGAGATTTTTTTCTAAAATAAAATTGTAGTAATTCTCTCTATGTATTATGAAATTAAGTTATATAAATTCATAGATGAAGCATTTAATGAAATTGGAAAATGTAATGCTCACCGATTACGAAGAGACAAAGACAAATGGCACGCAAACGACACTAATAGCTATTGGCATTACTTCAACGTTGTTTAAATTAAACCCGAGTACCATAAAAAAATTATATAAATCATGCAAATTGAATAGCGTCGATTTTCTACGAGAAATTTACAGAATCTTAACGGGAAATGATTTCTGTGAAGAAGGATATAGTATATTTCAGATTTTATTTCTATTTAAAACTTAAATTAAAGAATTAATAAATATAAAATTATTTAATTTCCAGAGAACATTTACAATTGCAATGAGAGAATAATATTGTCGGCCATTGCATTTTTAACATTGCCAGAAACAGTGAAGGAATTACATAAGAGATTGCCAGCAGTGACTATGCCAAGATTACCATCGAAACGTAATTTTATATTTCAAAATATTAAAAAGTTTAATCTCAACTATAATTGAATATTCATATTATTAGATACGATTATAATTATTACAAATTTACCAATATTATTTCATCAATTAATAATTATTTTATAATTATTTATTATTGTTAAACTAAATAAATATTATTAGTCTCACAACTATAATACATATTTTAGCAAAACTAACATATCTGGAGAGACGAAAAGATATCTGTCCTTATAAGGAAGAATTGTTTAAACGTCCCGATTGGGCTGGTTATCGAAATGCTTTGCAGGAATGGCGAAAACATTATAAATTAACTGCAATTCCGAAAATAATCCCACTGAATAATAAATATGGCCAGGTTTTTATTGATAATAGATCAGATGTTAAAAACCGAAGGAAAGATATTTCCACTGAACATCTCAAAGAAATCGGTACAAAGGAATTACAAAAAATTTCCTCAACTATGTATGATTGTCAGAAAGGTAAAAATGTTTAATAGATTAATTAAATATAGAATTGTAGTAAGTACGATTTTTAAGTATCTATACAATTAGCTATATTTAATGTATAGTTTAATAGTACTGTTACGTCCGTCGGTGGTAACAATTAAAATTGTATATGAAAATTGAAATTATGTTGCGACCGTCGTCAGATATAGGGATAAAGAGATAAATGATACGCGTGTGCGTGGATTGGGGATTGGAAGAGTGGCGAATTGTTTATAACAGTGAGAGAAGTACGATCAGAGTATAAATAACGAATCTCAGACCGAGCAATCCATAAAACCTACAAGTGCTAGCGTATCGCATGCTATAGGATTCTTAAAACATTCTTATAAGAATATTTCATTACTTAATTGAGTCGAAATATTGAAAATTAATATTGAAAATTAATCATTGATTCCTTTAAATATTAAAATTTGATACCTTTGAAAATTAAGATAATGTTAGAGCACATTAATTTCTTATTTGATAGGGATGTAGAGCGTTAATTGACTCGATTTTAGCATTCATGCTTTTGAGATTGAGAACAATTAATTGATTCGAACAGATTACATTCTTTGAGCAAGGAAATTTATAATTAATCCCAGCAATTCGAACCCTTTTCATCATTTCGCACCAATGGGGAATGGGAAAAGGAGTAGACCGAGAGAAAGAAACGAACAGAGCGTTAAATAATTTTCTGCTATATTTTTATTTACGATGTACTTATCCTGTCGGTTGATCTCCCTGGGAGAAATTAAATTCTTATAAAGTCTAGCTAGTCGCAACCGTCTGCGTGGTTTCCTCTTTTCGTCATTCTACAGAAAAGCAAGATTTAACTTATTGACGCAGCCATTAGCGAATTTTGACGAGTAACCGATGTAGATTTATTAATGCATACAAGAGACATACAAAGAGAAAGACTGAGCAGCTCCTTCAAACGTAGTCAGCCCTCTTGGAGAAAAAGAGAAAGACAAATAGCGAAAGTAAACGAAACCATATATACAGAGATTTTTATTTCTTGAGATATTCCAACCTTATAATCCTTTAACGAAGTATCCTGTTCCAAATAAAGATTCTGAAATTGCATCAAATTGAAATTGCAGATTTGAAAGATCGAATCAATTTTTTATTATTTAATATAGTTTCAGAGTTATTAACTGGTTTATTTCTCAGGCCTTTCGTTCTGGTCTTCCAAACTGCTCTTTTCCAGGACCCTGATTGGTCGAAGCCTCGCGAGAGACACAATTAGCTTTGCTTATACTTATTTCAGGCTTGTATAAAGTAATTACAACGATAAAAATAATGAACTGAATAGAAGTGTAAGGAATATGACACAGAATTACGAAATAATAAGCGTTCTTAATCTGTACCGATTTCGTGCTGAAATTCGAGCGACGAGCAACACACCCGTGATTGATGCGCGATAATCGACGTTCGTTTCGAGCGATTACAAGGATTGAACGATTACAAGGATTGAACTCAATCGAACTAATTTCTCAATTCCGGACAGTTATCTCTTTCGAGAATTTCATTGTTTAGCATCGGCACGCGTCACGTGCCTTGCGAGTGATTCGATTAGCTCGTGCGAACCAACGCACGCGTCACGCCAGTACGGCGTGATAAATAGCAATATGACTATACAAATGCTATCCCTTGATACATTTCCACACAAAATATTCACGCAAAATGTTCAAATTAACAATTTTTTTACATAAATGATGTAAAACAATAAATAGTAATAGGAAATATATAGTGTGATAAAACTAAAAATTTTTCTAATACGGACGTAACAGCACAATAATTAATTATATAAGATTTATCAAAGTACATAATCAATCAAGTAATCATATACATGTACAGATGTGCAAAAGTATTAGGCAATTATAGTTTCCTCGAAGATACTTTTATATTAAATTTTGTTTGCTGATGTTTTATTGAACTGTAGCGCTTTAAAGTAAGGCAAAAATATTGCAAAGATATTATTTTTCAATTTTATGTAACTTAGGAACAAAATAGTAGACACAAAAGATTCAAACGCAGATTTAAAGCCCTATTTCATATTTATGCTTTATGCTATGCAAAATATGTGGTCGAAGACCTCTCTGAGATTTCTTTTCGCCGAGATATTTAACTTTTCGTAAAATGCGAGAAAATTGTAAGTGCCTAATATTTTTGTACATATCTGTATCTGATAGTATTTGAGTAAAAAATTAATGAAAACCAATATTTAGCTATTTTTAGTAATTAATATCTCGTTAATCATTGTGATAATTACAAAATGGTAGAGGACTTTTCAATTCAGTTGAATCCGCTATCTACACAAAAGCGATTGATCAAAACTTACAGGACATCCTGTATGTATATATAATAAATATTGATAAACTTTTCAAAGCTACAGATTCCTCAAGAGAAAGAACTTTGGAATCGGCAAGTTTCAGTATTCTTCAAAATCCGGCAAAAGACAGTAAAAAAACTAATTTCAAGATTCTTAGCAAAAAGTCAGAAACCGTTGAATATAAAATTTATGGTATAAAATATAATGCAATATCTTATTGATTTTTCTTAATGAAAAATAGGAAAGTCATATTTGAAAAGATATAATAATTCTGAAGTTATAATATTAGAAAATTATACTATCAGAAAGCTTCATAATTTTCTTCAAATATTTGAAAAATTTTAGGTCCACCGAAACCGCCAGGAGCAGATATAAAATCTTGGCTGAGAAAGAAGGATCCTCATTATATGATAGCTGGAGTATCCACCGAAAATGATTATCCTATAACTTACGAGATCGCAGGCGTTGCCAATGTGACACCCATCAACAGCGACGAAAAATTCTTCGCGACGCTGAAACTCGACGACTACACCAAAAAGGTTTTTCCCAGTGGCAGAGAAAATCTGTCAATAAGTTGGCAAGAGTGGCTGCAAAACGCCGATGAAAGCTATAAACAATTAGAGGAAAAAACTGATGAGATAATGAAGAGTGTGCAGGCAATTATGAAATCGATGCTTCCTGCACCCTTTTGCGATAGTTGCTGTTCCTGCCGACAGACTAGAAAATTTGAAGAACAATTGCAACAAAGCAAGGCATTAATTGATGGAGAGAAAAATATGTGAGAAATTATTACTAAGGCTAAATTTAAACAAAATTATGTAGATAACTTAAATGGTTGTTTAAATTGTCTAATCTATAATGTTTATTTTATAATTTGTCTTTTACGGTCAGTTAATTAAATAGATTACGACAATTAGCAATTTTAATATTAATTTCGAAATTTTCAAAAATGTGGATGTTTTCATCTTTGAATTTTGACATCCTCTGATTCCAATTATAGAATTTTGGATTCTAGAATCCTTAAAATCTGCGGTTTCTAAATTTTAATTTTTTTTTATTCTGTAACTTACGAGATTGCAGGCGTGGCCAATGAGATCCAGCAAGATTGATACATTTTATAATCTTATAATCCTTTTAAAATTTCTCTTCAAGGCTTAAAAAATTATAGAATTTTTAAAATTAATATTTTAAAAACTCAGTGATGCAATGATCATACATATAAGAATATGTTATTTTTAACAGACATATCATAGATTCGATGCAATCTTCAGGAGAAAATCCAACAGAATTGCCGATTAATCAGGTTCCTGAGGATGAGATTAGAACAGACATAATTCAGCCTATTAAAAATGTTCCACCTTGTTCATGTGTTCATTCTATTCAACAAATGGCTAATAAGGATATTAGTCTATCTATAAGCAAGGAAAACATTCCTTGGACGAAAGAAGGATTGTGTCCCGGAATGAAGTATAGACCAAAAGAACCAGGTGCATATTCTTGCAAGATGTATCCTGAAGATAAATTCTGCAGGTATCCTTTCGTGAAAGAAATGACAAAGATGGAAAGAAAAAAAATAGAAAACCAAAAAGAAAAAGAAGAAGAAGCGAAAGAAAAGACAAAATTCATTGAAGCGATTAAGGAAAAGGGAGATAAATTTATTTCTAATCCTGATTATCCTGCTTATAACAATCCCTCCGATATATTAGAAACTGCGCCTCCAGCAAAAATAATTAAAACAGATTATGAAACGACCTCGAAGTTGACATCTTCAGAAGGGCCTACAACTTCTTTGCCATTAAACGTGCAAGAGAAGCAAAATGACATCTTCTCGAAGAAAATAAAAAATGATATTTTAACCAAGAAAATTAATACAAAAACCTCCTTAAAATCACCAAAAAATGTTCAAAAAGGAATGAACAAAAGAAAAAAGGAAATACAAAATATAAAAAATGAAAAAACAGAACCAATACCTTTAAAGAAAATTATATTTAATAAAAAAGATACAAAACTGTTGAATACAATTTCCGGATCGACAATATCCAAAACGGAAAAGAAGCAACAAACAAAATCATCATTACATAATCCAATTAAGCAATCTAACAAAATTAGTAAGCTAACTAAACATGATTTTGTGAAGAAAAATAGAGAGAAAAATATAGTAAATGAAACTAAGAAAATTGAAAACAAACAAGAAATGGCGCGGTTAAAGAATATGTTCAAATCTTCCGGGACTTTAGGATATATCCAACCAGCGGTTCTTTCAGAAGAATTATTGGCAATTAGTCAACGTATTCCAGAAAAGAAAACTGAAAAGATAGATGACGAAGAAGAGACACGTGGAACCAAAAAGGAACCTTGCTGTTGGAGAACGAAGTCGGAGCAGGAACTTCCAGCGAAAAAGACTGTGGCCTATCTCTGCGAGCCGGATTATCCTCTAGAGACAATGGCAGTACGTCCTGGAGGACAACTTTGCCAATGTAGGGTTACGTATAATATAAGTGGTTTGGTTGAAAGAAAAACTATCAGAAAGAAATTAAACGAAGAGGATAGAATAATTGACGGTATCCTTTATGTTACGCCACCCATTAGTCCCCGAAGAAGTGACGAATATATTCCAGAATATGATCTTTTCAAATCGCCATACGACATGTGTGTTAGCGAAGCTGTGGATAACAGGTTGAAGCTATTAGAAAAGTATTCCGGACCCAAAAGTTTGATAGAAAAACTACGGAAAAAACCAAAATCATGCAATTGTTGTAATGATGTCGTCATCAAAGAAGATTACCTCATCGATCAAAAGAAAGATTTTGAAGAGACTAGAAAAAAGTTTATGGAATCCAAATCACCGGAAGAAAGATGGAAGACAGCTTTGAAGGATACAGCACTGACAGATTATTTTACACGGCGCGACAATACATCTGGACCTTGCTGGACGACTTGCAAGAAAATTGCTCGGAGTTACAGGTTAGTAAAAAAAACATTAGCTTAACAAAATCATAATTATTAAAGTTATTAAATATTTCATTATATTAATCGTACTAATACTTCAATGTTCAGGATGCAGCATTAAATTGAGTAATTAGTAATTTTGACTTGTTTTAATAAAAACAAGTAATTTAATATTTAATTTTCAATATATCATTTAAACATAATTAATATCAGCGACTTTGTATATTATAAAATATATAAATTATTGTAGACCTTGTCGATTGAAGGTAGTAAAGCCTGTGTGTGAATGTAAATATGAAAGAAAAATTGTGGAGCGAAATGAAGAAAGAATGGAATGGAAGACACGTCAACAAAGATTGAAGAATTTGAAGAAGCAATCTTTCGTACATATTGTCGGTATCTCAAGACCAGTGATAGAGGATAAGATTATTATACCAGATGTGAAGAAAATCCCACGGGAAGACGAGAAAGATGACGTTGAGTATTGTATATCAGATGTGACAGAAGACGTTTTTATGTCGCCACCTCAGAAAATAATTGACGGTCTGAAAATGTCTTCGCCCTTCCAAACACCCTCATCCAGTGTAGAAGATATTTTACGAACTACTGTTTTGCGACATTTGTCGCCCACGAATATTCCATCATGTCCGTTGTCGAGGAAGGACGCCGTCTTAAAAGAAGAAATGGAGCATACAAAGAAAGAAGACGAAGCATTAAAGATTATTTATAAGTATAAGGACAAACAAGATACATCTTATTTAATGATTCATAATTACCAAGATGAATTGATTAAAAAAGTTGATAAGAGAATACTTAATAAGGAAAATCATATAAATATAAAGAAGAAAACATCTAAAGAAATAGAAGGATTACAATCATTGAATAAGAAGACTGACAGCAAAATAGAACATCGAAGAGGCGTACCATATAAAGAAACTACTGGCAAAATAATTCATAAAAATAAATATTCCAAGGAAATTATTAACGAAATCGATCAGCAAAATGTATCACACAAACAAATCGAAAAAACAGAAGAAAAGATTGACGATAAGAGTCATCGGATGAGCGGCGGTGGCGATAAGAAATATAAAAAGTTTGATCAACTTATAGCGATTATGAAGGTATTTTTGTGAATCTTTTTAATTTAATGACTAATTATCTCACAATATATTAATATTAATTACGTTATTTATGAATAAATATAATAGAGGAAAGCTCCCTATTATGAGATAGACGCCTAATATGAGATAATGGCGTTTCAGCTGAACTAATGAACGCTATCTGTTGGTTCCACCACGGATTTATTGCTTTTGAATTAAAAACTATTTAGTGTAAAATTCATTAAATTAAATCATGCCTGTAGTCATTGTAAAAAAAAATTTTAGAATTTGAATGTCTTCAAGTTTCATTGAAATGAACCTTTAAATCTTGTTTATTATTTAACAAGAGTTAAATATTTGGCAATAAATTTTTCATGTAGTGATAAAGTAAAACAGTATTAATAAAAAAATACGAGATATGTTGAATTGCTTAATTACAGAAGTTAGATTTGATGACCATAAAATCGTAAAGTGGAAATCGTAATATAAGATGAGTATTTCTAATATGAAATAACCTATGCTCTTATATCATAAGAAAATGCTGAAAATCATTGCTAAAATATAAATATTATTTTACAATAATAAAAAAGACAACCGGAATGAACGTCGAATGCCTATTTCTGCGATGCTTGGTTCCAACTATCTGAAGACGAGTCCTATACTGTTAGAAATATAACTACGAGCTTCCTTTACATGTAAATGAAGCTCGTGGTTATAAACAAATTAAGTAATGAATAATTTAACTGAAAATTAAGTTGCAGTAGTTACTTAAATGTAATGAACGTGTACTAAATTTATGAAATTTAACCTTTCATTGACACACCTCTTTTTTTGATCGCTTTTTGACACACTGGATGGCTCACACCCAGAGCAATATTTAAACAACTGACATTCTTATTTAAAAAATCCAATCAATATGGAAAAAATTATGAGTCAATTTCAAGGTCTGTAGAATATATTCAAATAGTTTTTTATTCAAATTTCATTACAGTTTTTGTGAAAAAAATTCTTGAATTCAATGAATAAAAAAAAATGAGTAAAATCTTTGAAAAATTGTAATTTTTAAAAAATTCAATATTAAAAGTTAAAAATTTACAGAATTGTTGTTCAGATATGACACTTTGAAAAAAAAAAGTTTATAAGTTGATTTTGAATAAAAGGTATTTATTTTGCATATTGAATGCAGGCTATTTTAGAAATTAAAAAAAACAGAGATTTTTTTATAAACAGTGTATTTTTGTTCTACAAAATAAAAGAAAATTGAGTTTCAGAAAGTTAAAATAATTTTGTGAGTGATTCACACTCAGTATATCAATCAAAGGTTAATGTACTTTTAATAAAATTTTATGAAAAGTACATTAAATTTCATAAATTTTCAAAAAATACATTAAATTTTATGTACATGTATACAAATATACTTTTTAATTATAAATACATTAAATTTAATGTAATGTCATGAAGTTCAAATTGTGTAACTTAAAAATTAATGAAATTTAAGAACATTTCTAACAGTGTAGGTACAATTCATCGCATGCTTATTTTACGCGCACTGGCTGTTTGTTTGTATTTTAGAAATATTAAATAAAATTGCACAATACTGATGTACTTTACCTTTTATTATCAATTTCTCGGGGCATCCCGTATTAGGAGCATAATTTTTTGACTTACGATTTTTTTAATTTGCTCACTTTTTATATTTCTTTAGTTAAAAAAAAATAGAATTTGAATTAAGTTTTACATTATCTTGAGGGGTAACACCTATGTAAATTTTCAAAAAAAAGATTTTTTTCTATTAAAATAGACTTTAGAGTCTTAAAAATGAAGTACAAATGGTTTTATGACGATGATTTTTTTCGAAAGTTATAGACTCTCGCGTCAAGTGCTTCACAATACTGTTGGTCGAACGGACCACCCACTCGGTACACCAAAATGTTCAAGACTCGTAGGGTCCGAATATTTCTATGTTTTTGTCTGCGATGATTCTGAATTGTTCTATTAGAACACAGATGACGAGATACTCTACTACATTCAAATATATTAATATAATCGTCAGTATAGCTGTTGAGACAACACCGATCGCATTTTAAACTCGTTTTTCTCAAAATAGTATTTTTTAAGTTAGCTAGCAGCCGAACTCAAACAATTTTTAACCAGTTTGCTTCAAATTTTAACTATTTAAGAAATTACATTTTCTAAAAAAATACGTAAGATTTTTTTGATAAATAATAGTCATTCTCAGTGTAAAGAAATTAAACGCAAATTTGTCAAAATTAATAAAACGATTAAATGCAAATTATACAATTTATAGTTACGCAAAAAGTTGGTAGTATTTTTTCATTTTTTAATTTTTATAGTCTATTCTATTAATTTGATAACAGAATGTGTGTTAGTACATTTTTATTTAATGACTCATTATGTTCAATATTTTTATTATTATGGACTTATTGCGACTATTATAATGGAAGAATATAATCGATAATATTACCGGAACGAAAAGCATTGCATTGTTGCGGAAGATAGATATAAAGAAATACAATTTTTTGCGTAACTAAAATAATAACTTGTATAATTTATATTTAACCGTTAATTAATTTTATTAATTTGTATAACTTGCGTTTAATTTCTTTACACTGAGGATGACCTAATAATAGAAGATCAAAACGTATGTTCTAAGAATTTGAAATACATAAAAATCTGGCTTGTAGTCCCTTCTTGTTATTTATTTTTTAAATACATTTTCAAAAATATATTTTCACGGCATATTTTTGTAGATATTTAAGTAAAGAAAATAAAAAAATTTGTTTTTTGTTAAAGAACCAAACATTACAACACTTATGCTGCTAGCCGCGGAATACCGTGCCAATTGTCTCCTTTACGCTGCTGCAGATCCGCTATTTTGATAAATAAAATTTTGAAAAAATTATTTTTTGCACTTTTTTATGTGCTCAATAAAGTTTTAAAATTCATTTTTTAATAACACGATTCATTAAACCAAAAAAAATTCCCAAAAATAGACCTTATTTACAACCGGTTACATACGTGTTACTCCTTAAAGCTTATTAAATTCCCTTCATAAATGACCTATTATTTTTTTTAATTTTGCCTTCTAGCATTTATTCAAAATGAACTCGGTATCTCATAATAGAGACCTTTCCTCTATCAATATTGAATATAGATATATAAAATATTAGGTCGAATTGAAGAAAATGGCTGCAGAAGGTTATATATTCGCCAAGTTACCGAAATGTTATCTAATGCCGCAGCTTCAGGATTGGGTCATGTACAGGCAGGGTGTTGTTTTCTCGGAAACAGACAAAAGTATAACTTTGATAGCAGAACTAATCGTTTTTTATTTTTAATCAATTTTTTAACTTCCAATTTATTTTTTATTTACTTAATTTTTTTCCTTATTAGAAAATTTGATGCGAGAGACCCGTATCATGTGGGACGTAACAAGTAGAAAAATGGTTATGGAATTCGAGAAACCATCATTGCACATGACGAGACATCAGTTGAAGAGATTGACCTTCGATCAAGCCGAGAGACTCAAGAAAAAGGTAGATTATCAAATTGTCATTATTTGCAAATTTAAATACAAAAGTCACATATATACATTAAATCTGTAACGTATCTTGATTTTAAATTTTTTTTCTTTTATATCTTTAATAGGTCACTATCGATATTAATTTCTTAAACATTTAAATTTTAAAGTAATTCTTTATATTTTATTTTAAAATAATTAATTATTATAATATGTATTTCTCTCAAGATTGAAAAGATTAAAGAGATATTCTACAGTGAAGTACGTAAGGCACGCGTTTCTTATACTCGTATGTTGTGGAGTACTATGAAACATGGAAAATTCCCTTCTGCGTCGTTCAAAAGAACTTTTTTCACGTATATGGCTGGCAAAGAAGCCGATGGACATGTTTATAAACCATGGTTGCCTTGCGAAATACATAAACAAGGTCTTAATTTTTCTTGCCTATAATTGTTGATTAATTTACAGTTATCAGTTGTTCAATATAATTTAGTTAAATATTGACAATATTTAAAATTTTTTAATAGTATATTTATTACAGCGATAAAAAAATATTACTTATGTAAATAATAATAAATTCATTAAGTAATGAACTTATATATTTAACTATATAATATTATTAATTGTTCTTAAAAATTATTTTTATATATTTCTAAATAATTGAATGAGAATGAGGATAAGGAAAAGAGAGAGATCCGATTCACATCTCTAATAAAATGAATATCTCATATCATCAATTAAAAATAAACCATATTTAAAATATAACTCATATTTTATAATTAGTTGTAGTAATATGTATG